TGGGCGAGGTGATGGCTCCCGAAGTGGAGGCTGCTCATCAAATGTTCCATCAAAAAAACGCTTACTAGCTTGCCACCAATTAGTGGCAAGCTCAGCTTCCGTGGGTGTCAGCCTCTGTAGAGGAGTGTTAGCCTCCTAACAATATAAAAGCTCAAACAAAGTTAAACGTGTACTAGTAATAACTTGTTTATAAACATATGGTAGTATTTATGTTAACTTACATTATTTATTGTCGTATACCGTAGTAAATCTTCCCATTGCAAGGTTCGTTTCCTCTTCCAGGAAATAGCCCTGGGAATATCATTTGAAGTTTTTATTGCATATGTCTTCATGGCGGGAAAGGCCTCAAATATCCAAATCTACAAACAATATAATAACAAACATTAGTAATTGTTAAATAATTACTTATAATTTTGGAAACATTATATAAAAATTCTTACCTTAAAAGGCCAAATAAAGTCTGTCAAAGTGTATTTGGAACCATCGCCATGCAAACTTTTTCGATCATCCAAGGCAGACGATAACTTATTCCATGTAGCTTTCCATAAATACGAGCCCCACGGAAACAAGTTCCACACATTTAGGTCTTCTACCAATTTGATTAGATCATTTGGAATAGGTTGTCTGGCCTCTCTGCCTAAAAAGCCGGCATGCAAAAGAATTAGAAGGCATACTCGGACAACGTCGACGTCATCCATCCGAGTAAAACCATCTTTCTTATTCAACAATCTTGTCAGGTCTTCTATGTGTAGATTCGGCCTCTCCAGCTCAAGAAAAACCCGGGATAGCCATGATGGGCGGGTAATGTGTCTAGTGTACCGAACTACATCATCGTGTCCGAAGCGTAGACCGGTGATTAAGCAAAACTCCTCCCGCCCAAAACACGTATACGCCGGTGGAAAATCAAACCATATCTCTTCATCACGACGTTGTATAGTCTCTGGTAGATCGCTAGCCATGGTTTGAAGAAACAGGTGTGTCAACATCGCATCTCCACCGGGATGTTGTACTTTCAGCCATGGCCCGAAGCATGTATCCTCAAACATTTTTCTTTGTGCAGGTGAAAGCTTCGACGCAATTGTTTTGGCCAGGCTGACTTTATTTCTTAAGGTCAATTGAGCCGAATAAAAGTTCTACAAAAACAATAAACATACTAAGTTAGATATTCCAAAAACTACACTGTGAATATATACCAAAAACAATAATAAACATAAAGAGTAGTAGTTTATTCTTCAAACTTAAATTTGCAACACTGTGAATTTCTTATTTGTCTTTGTTTTTTGGTTGAAGTAATGTAATTCATTCAAGTTTCAATTTGCAGAAGAAGAATAGTTTCTGAAAATGAAAATCGCAACACGAAAATGACAATCGCAACGCGAATTTTGACTATCGCAACGAGAGAATAAAATCGCGTTGCGATTTTGTCGTTGCGATTTTCATTTCGCGTTGCGATTCTCGGTTGATTTAATAAGCAATCTAAGTGAAATGGTTAATCTATTATTGAAATTACCAGTAAACTTATCATCAATTTCAATATGAAAAACCTAATAATAATGCAAAATTTTCAAAAAGAAAATAATTAAAAAAACTAACCCTCGTTGGTTGATTTGGTTGATTTTCCATTTCTGATTGTGAGGGTGGCTCTGAGAGATGGAGATAGACGGATTTCGCCGGAGATGGGGACGGATTTCGTCGGAGATGGGTGAGAGAGTGAGAGATGGAGATGGGACTGAGTTGTGATTTTAGGTTTTAGGTTATGAGTTGCGATTACAGGATATACTGTGGACGGTTCAGTGTTCCAATATATTAATATTCGTGTTTGGAATTTAAAAATAAAATACTTGGCCAGGATACTAATGGCGCTTTGAAAATCACATTGCGATTATGTATTATCGCGTTGCGAAAGTCAGTATCTCGTTGCGATTTTGTATTATCGCATTGCGATAGTAAGTATCTCATTGCGATAGTCAGTATCGCATTGCGATTTTTCCAATTTACGTTGCGATTTACTTATTCGTATTGCGAATTGGGAAAATCGCAACGACACTGTAGACCATCGCAACGCGATTTTCAACTATCGCAACGCGAAATGCAACGCGAATTTGCGATAATGGAGATCGCGTTGCGAATTAGCGATCGCATTGTAATTTTGTTGGTCATTTTGGCAAATCCGGAAAAAGTTGGTTAAAATCGTATATTATATGGGATTTTTGGTCACTGAGGTTATTTTCTCATAAAAAAAACCCTGCCTCTTTTAAGTAAATTGTCGCAACCGTGCCCCTTATTTTTCCTTTTCTTCTTTATTTCTTTTGCTTTTGTTCCTTCGTGCTCTGCTATATCTCTTTTCACATTGACCCATCACCGTTCGTCAAATCTAATCGATGGCGAACCCAAACAACGTACACCCACCATGAACCATCGATATCCTTTCTTCGTATTCGCTAATGTGGTCGGCCTGTCATCGTTTCAAGCTTCGGTAAAGAGAAATCGTAAGTTCCCATCGCCGTTCTCGGTTGTTTTTGGTTGTGGTTCGGTCAGTGGAAGCTGCTACCATCGTTTGGTAGCACTCTTTTTCGTGTGGACAGTCTCGAATGGTCGTAAAACGCCACTACCACTTCTCCCTCACTCCTGCCCTCATCAGGTAGTCATGTGGTAACCGTCGCTGGCCTTGGGGACTGCTATCGGTGTAGTTCCATCATTGGCAACCCCTATTTCAGTTACCGACAGTCTTTAGTTCCATGAGAACCTGCTGTCCGGCTCCCGTTTTGAATAAGATAATATTTATTTATTGTAGTTGTAACATCGTTTCATCGTAAATATTTACAAAATCGTTGGATGAGATTTTAATACGGTCATCGTAATTTTGCATGAGATATCGGAATCAGATTTACCACTTCCTTCGTCGTTACCCGTTAATTTGGAATCACTTATTTTACGTAATCGACCGTGAATTTAGTTATACTTTAGTTTTAGATTCAGATTTGCTGATAAATTAGATAGATAGTTACTATTATCATTATGTAGGAACTGATCCGATTAGACCCACTAATTGAGCCGATCGTGGGAGATGTTAATCGCCGTTAGAATATTTGTCGAGGTGTGTCTCTTTCCGGTGCTATATTTGTTCTGTGTTAAATGGTTTGATTGTTTGGAATTGATTGTAAGCTTGATTGTTATGTGTTATGTTGCTTTAAATGTAATTCAGTTAAGCATGTTATTTGGAAATTTGTTTTGAGCATGATTATTCTGTGATATTGTTGTATCAGTTGGAATTTAGAAAATTATGTTATGTGACATGTGATATTTATCGGATTCATATTATGCTTTGTGTTCGGACTCTGGAATCATGTAATTGTATACTCATTCAGATCATATTGGAATTCGAATATGTGGTATTCGAGTATGTGTTATTCGGATATGTATTATTCGGATAGGATCGGATATCAGATATGTGACATTTGTATGTCATATCGAGACGAATTTGATAGGGGAAGTTCAGTGCATTCACTCAACGGGGTGAATGTCACTTCATATTCGGTGGCCTACGCTTTGTAGCGGACCCCACTTCGGATGGTTTTAGTAGTAGAGTGGTTATGGGGAACCTACACTTCGGATGGTGTAAGGTGTTTGGGTGCACATTCATTGCATATTTAATTGGACTGTGAATATTTTGCTAAATCGGATTGTAGGATGTCTTGAGATGTATTCTTTGTGATTGATGATTGATTCGAAATATTATTATTACTTTTGTTTTAGGTTGTGTTGTGACCTATGTTTAATTGCACTTTAGAGACACGCTAAGCTTTATAGCTTACACCCCCTTATTTTCTCTATTTCAGGTTCTCGGGTTAAGATAACCGGTACTTGGAGTTCGATATTATTCAATTTTTCAGTATTTTCATAGTTTGTCATTTATTTGGTTTTCCGATATTACTTCAAATTATTTTTATGGATAAGGTTTAACATGTTAAATATTTTGGGACATTGGATTTAAACGTTGTTTGGACTTTGGGACTTAAAATTTGGACTTTATGAATGTTTGTTTTATGTTTTTAATTATTGTAAATTTATTTTGGTTATATTGAGTATTTGATTACAATAAATGTGAGGTAAAATTTCAATGTATTTAAAGTGATGTTTGGGATTCGATTTGGAAAGCAAGACGATGAGCCTCTAGGATCAACGTTTAGAAAACCGGACAGGACCGGCCGGTTCAACTGGGAACCGCTGCCAGGTTCGGTTCATTCTACCCAGGCTAAACCGCTACTAGTAAACCGTAAGGAACCGCTGAACCGACTGTGAACCGTTCGAAACCGGACCAGGAGTGAACCGCTAAGAACCGACCATCAATAAAAAATTAAAAAAAGTTAAAAAAACTGCTTTTGGGAACCGGTTGTAAGTTCCTTATTTCTAGGGTTTGGGCTGTTTGGCTATTTGGGAAGTGAACAAAGCAAGGAACGATTGAGAGTTGAGACCAAGAGATTAGAGAACGAGAGAAGTCAGGAAAAAAACCCTCAGCTGGTCGCGTTTGCCTCTGCTCCACGACGGCGGTCGGTCGGCCATTGATACTTTGGTGAACGATCAATCGCCTCTGCTCCTGTGCTCCAGTCCACGGCACGTAGATCGACCAATTTTGCTATTTGGAGTTTTAGACGTTTGATATTTGCATGGTTTTCAAAACGTTGAATATATGGCTATTAATTTCTTGAATGGTGTTATGATGTATAAGAGGATAATATTAAATATGTTCCGATGGTTCCACTTCCATGAGGATAATATTAAATATGTTCCAATGGTTCCACTTCCATCGATTGGAATAACAGTTAATGAACTTTGGAAAACATATTTAGTAAATATATTAAAGAACTATAAGTACATGATAAATTCCCTTTTCAAGTATATGATATGTTTGGATCGCTTTTGTAATCCATATGTTTGTAATCTATATGTTTGAAAATGAATTATGTATTTATGTGTGGTTAATTTGGTTGTGTAAAGTAATGAGTATGGAAGAAAACAACAATGCAAAACCATTAGGGGAACAAACAACTTTCGTTGCCCCATCATCAAATGTTCGACTGAAGACAGACATGGCTTGGAGATATGTTAATGAATTACAAGATGAACATGGAAGGAAATCATACTTTTGCACTTTTTGTCAAAAAACTTTTCATGGTGGAGGTATTAACAGAATGAAACAACACCTTGCGGGAGTAAAAGGTAATGTTTGTGCATGTCCGAAGGTACGGGGGGATGTCAAAGTTCTTATGCGAGGTAATTTGGAGGAAAATAATATAAAAGCAAAGGAGAAGCGTGGTTGTTCTTTGGGAATACATATTAATTTGGATGAAAATGAAGAAGTACAAACACAAACAACTAAAATGAACAAGAGGAAAGCTTCTTCAAACTTGCAATCATTCTTTAAACAAGGTATAAATGATCTCTCTCAACCTTTGATTAAATCTTCTATACAAAGTAAAGAGAGATCACATGATACGAATATGGCTCTTGCTTTGTGGTTTTACGATGTTTGTATTCCTATGAATGCCGTGAATTCTCCACTTTTTCCAATTGCTATGAGTAAGATAGCTAGCATGGGGCATGGGTACAATGGACCTTCTTATCATGATATATGTGTTAATTTGTTGAAAGATGCAAAACAATCGGTGCACCTTATTGTTGAGTCTTATCGAAAAAAAATTGGTCAGAAACGGGTTGCACAATTATGAGTGATGGGTAGAGGGATACTACACATAGGCCACTTATCAATTTTCTAGTTTATTGCTCAAAAGGAATATCTTTTATCAAATCTTTGGATGTATCTGATATTGAAAGTAATGTACTATGCAACTCGTTTTTTGAAATAGTTGGTCCTAAGAATGTTGTTCACATGGTTACTGATAATGTTGCTAACTACAAAGCTGCTGGAAAATTGTTATATGAGAAATATCCTTTTGTTTGTTGGTCTCTTTCTGCTGCTCATTGTATAAACTTGATTATGAATGATATAGGGGAGCTGTCACATGTTGATAGCTTAATTACTCTTGCTTCAAGGGTTACTATTTTTATTTATAACCACAAGTGGCCGTTGAATTGGTTGAGAAAAAGACCTGGGTGGACAGAAATCATTCGTCCTGGTGCCGCTCATTTTGGTACCACATTTATTGTATTAAAGAGCTTACATGACCATAAAAATGATTTACAAGCTATGGTCACCTCTAATGATTTTAAGAAAGTCATAAAATTGCCAAAAGCCATGGAAGTTAAGATTATAATTATAGATGAAACTTTTTGGAAGAATTGTTTGATCTTGGTGAATGTGATGGCTCCATTGTTGAGATTTCTGCTTGTTTGTGACTCAAATGAGAAACCTTCTTTGGGCTATGTGTATGAGGGAATGTATCAGGCGAAAAATGGCATCAAAAAACTAATTCGATTCAAAAAGGATTTATATAGGTCGTATACCAATATAATCAAGGCTCGATGGGATAGGATATTAAGAAAGAGTCTTCATGCTACAGCTTATTGATTAAATCCAATCTTTCAATATGATCAAGAAACCTTTTGCCAAAAAGCAGAGATTTTTTCAGAGGTCCTTGAGATGGTTGATAAAAAGGCCCGTGATGTTGGTTTGAAGGTCACGATGCAACTCAGTAACTATCGTGAGCAAACTAGAACATTTGGTCGACCACTTGCAATAGCTTCTCGAAATGTACTCATCCAGGTAAGTTTAAATAAATAATGTCTTTTATTATATTAATTATTTTACTATGCTAACTTTGTTACCATATTTTTAGATGAGTGGTAGAAACTTTCGGTGGAGATTGTCCAGAGTTGCAAAAGTTTGCAATTAGAATTCTAAGTCAAACATCATCTTCTTCAGGCTGTGAGCGGAATTGGAGTGTTTTTTTTAAAGAATCCATACCGAACAGAGAAATCGATTGGAGCATCAAAGGCTAAATGATCTTGTATATGTTCACTATAACTTAGGTCTATAAAATAGGTATGATAGAATGTTTTTTCTTGAAAGACGACAAGGTTTTTATTATTCTTTTTTTTATTCTAAATTACGTTTGCAAACATATTAACATTTAAATATTATAGGCTCAAGTATGATAAACGGTCTTACGATCTAGTTGATTATGAATGTATTGATCAAACTGAATTTTGGGTGGTTGAAGAAGAAAGTGAAGGAGAGATTGACTTGGACGAGTTGGATAACATGGTTGAGGAAGAACCATGAAATAAAGAGCCATCTACTTCTAAAATGCAAGGTTAGTATTTTCATAAACATAGTTATAATATTGATATTCTAGTATGTAGCATTTTTGTTACATCATATTTTGTTTATTTGGTATTCTAGGAAATGTAAACAATGATGATGATGATGACGACGACGACGACGACATTGCCATCCTTGAAGATCTTGATTTGTGTTCTTATCAAAATGCTTAAATGTTGTTGAAGTTTAACTTTATTTGGAAGGATATTGATATTTCGACTTTTATTTTTAAGGTTAATCAACTTTTGTTTTAGTTTTAATGTGTAATGTTTGGAGATTTTTATTTGAAGTAAATCAAGTAATGAATGATGGAATTTTGGTATTGTATTTAAGTATTATAGTTGTGGGGATGTTTTTAGTTTTTTATTAAATGTTTTTGGTATTTTTATTTAATTTTTTAAATACTTATGACGTCGTCCGGTTCTTCCGACCGGTCTGATCGGTTCGACCGGTTGAACCAGTGAACCGGTAGCACGGCCGGTTAACTGATCGGTACGGTTCTGTAAACCATGTCTAGAATCTAACCTTTTCCTTTTAGGTCAGGTAAAAGATGTTACATTTAGTTGTATCAGAGCCAGTTCAACCCTCAAACTGTGGAGCTCAACCATAAAATTTTTAACTAAAAATGATTTTTTTTGCATGAATACAAATATTTTCGGGTAAAAAGTAGGATATACGAAATAAATTGTTTTCCTTCTATTTTTTTTTTTACTTTTTAAGAGAATAAATATTTCATTTTGAAACTCAAAGTACCAACTTTGACTTTAGGGTATTTTTCCATTTATAGGTAGTTCATTATGTTACCCCGTTTGAATTCTCGATTAGCTATCGATCAAGGTTAAGATCAATTTAGACATAGATCAAAGGTATAAAACTGAATTGAGCTATTGTCATCGGGACTTAAACTATAAAATCTTATTAGATCTCGGGGGCAACCAAGACCACCTACTCAGACTATTGTCATCGGGACTTAAACTATAAAATCTTATTACATCTATTGATCCTAGTGTTAGTGCTGGGTGTTCGATTGATACTCGAATGGTACCACAATGTTTGTATCATCAGATCTGGGAGAGTGTTGGAGGAATACTTGAGCGTGTCCTTATTGTAGGTCTTCAGAGCATCGCTTCAAGTAGTGTCATCTTCAGTCTATTTGTTTTTATGGTCCTAGTCAGTCTCAGGCTTTAACTAGAGCACCGATCTGAGTTAGGGATCAGGCTAGATCGATAAATTTTGGTTCAGCTAGTAAAGGTAGACCAGTTCATAGTAGAGGTTCAGATAGATCCACAGTGAGACAACCTAAGTTGGTATATGTTATTCGAAGATGAGGATTAGCTGAGCTATATGAGCTATATGAAGTTGCAAAATTTCATTTTATTTATATTCTGATAAATTTCGAGGACGAAATTTCCTTAAGGAGTTGAGAATTGTAACACCTCAAATTTTCCCCAAATTAAAACTCCTAGAATTTGGGAATTTTCATTCGAACCCTAAATTAAACTTGGTTACCAGATTGCAAAAAAAAATGAAAAACTGATGGCCATTTTGTAAGAGAAGAAATTTTTAGTGGTTACTTTAGAAATCTTAAGAAATTCAATGACTTATGGTGTGATTTACCCAATTTTATTAGAAATACAAAATCCTTGCATTTTCAAGTAAACTGTCACAACGTGCCTTCCTATTTTTCTTTTCTTCTCTATTTCTTTTGCTTTTGTTCCTTCGTGCTCTGCTCTATCTCTTTTCACATTGAGCCACCACCGTTCGCCAAAGCTAATCGTTGGCGAACTCAAACAACGTACATCCATTCATGAACCACTGATCTCCTTTCTTCGCGTTCGCTAACGTGGTTGGCCTATCATTGTTTCAAGCTTCGGTAAAGGGAAATCGTGAGTTTCCATCGTCGTTCTTGGTTGTTTTTGGTTGTGGTTCGGTCGGTGGAAGCCGATGTAATCGTTTGGTAGCAATCATTTTCGTATGGACAGTCTCGAATGGTCATAGAACGCCATTTCCGCTTCTCCCTCGCTCCTGCCCTCTTCGGGTGGTCATGTGGTCACCGTCGCTGTCCTTGGGGATTGTTGTCGGTGTAGTTCTATAATTGGTAGCCCCTATTTTCGTTACCGACAGTCTTTAGTTGCATGACAACCTGCTGTCCTTCGTCGTTACCCGTTAATTTGGAATCACTTGTTTTACGAAAATTTAGTTACTATTATCATTATGTAGGAACTGATCCGATTAGACCCACTAATCGAGCCGATCGTGGGAGATGTTAATCGCCGTTAGAATATTTGTCGAGGTGTGTCAATTTCCAGTGCTATATTTGTTTTGTGTTAAATTGTTTGATTGTTTGGAATTGATTGTAAGCTTGACTGTTATGTGTTATGTTGCTTTAAATATAATTCAGTTAAGCATGTTATTTGGAAATTGGTTTTGAGCATGTTTATTCTATGATATTGTTATATCATTTGGAATTTAGAAAATTATTTTATGTGATATGTGATATTTATAGGATTTAGATTATGCTTTGTGTTCGGACTCTGGAATCATATAATTGCATTCTCATTTGGTTTTTCGATATTACTTCATATTATTTTATTTGAATAAGGTTTAATATGTTAAATATTTTGGGACATTGGATTTAAACGTTATTTGGACTTTGGGGCTTAAAATTTAGATTTTATAAATGTTCGTTTTATGTTTTTAATTTTTGTAAATTTATTGTTTATATTGAGTATTTGATTACAATAAACGCGAGGTAAAATTTCAATGCATTTAAAGTGATGTTTGGGATTTGATTTGGTAAAGCAAGACAATGATCCTCTCAGATATGACCTCTTCCCTTTAGGTCGATTAAAAGAGGTTACACTGTGTGATACTGGGATTCCTTCTCGATGGTCTACCTGATGCTATGTGATACTAGGTGATCATCCAACAGATTAGATGCGACTTTACTGATGTTATGTGATATTGATACTCTATTCTAGTAGGTTAGTATATAATGCTATGTGATACTATATATTACCATAGTAGAGTCAGTGGTGCATTTAGATAATGCACAATACAATCAGGTTTGCATTCATATAATTCACAGGAGTCTCAGTGTCGCATTTAGATAATGCGTCGCAGTTAAAGTTATTAGGGTTAGAGACCCTTCGAGGTGTACTCATGGTGAGACCCCTATTTTAGAGATAGAAAAACTAAGCCTTAATGAGGTAGCACTTGATCTAGATCATGCATGAACCTACTGCTTAGATCCACATCTTCAGTATGCTTGTGTTTATGAAATTCTTATGATGCTCTAGATTAACGATTATACTACTGGGCTTTGTAAGCTCAGCCTTTGGATGTTTTCCGTTGGCAGGTCTGTAGATTGGACAGTTCGAGGAACACCATCGTGACAGGACTTCTAGCATCCCCTTAAGAGTATTGTATTGTAGCTTTAGTGGACATGTGTATTCATAGGACTCTTATTATTGTATTCAAATTTATAAGAAAGAAATTATAATATTTTGATTTAAATCTTCTTTCACGAAGATTCGATTTTGTAAAATGTTATATATCATTTATTTATGTTTTATTTATGATATCATTTTGTGTGTTTTAAAGGAAAGTGAGCAGGTTTTGCAAATCAGGTGTTGCCTCGATAGCCTAATGTGGCACTTTATGCTCGATCGGGTTTAAGATATTACAAGCAAGTTTATATTTTTACCCTTATTGTTGCATGTGCTCCACTCAATTATGTATTGACATTTTATTTTAATAATTTAATACTAACATCCTTAAAAATAATTTATTTTAATTATTTAAAAACAAATAAAAATCATGATTTGCATAATAAATATTAATAGTAAGTTATATAAAATATATTTTTATTATAATTATATCTTTTCAATTTTACTTTTTAACAGCAATATAAAACAGTTAAATTTTAAACTGCACTTTCAAACAATACTTTTAAAAGTTTGCTCCTACATCACTTTTAGAAGTCAATTTTTAAAAGCGATGTCAAAATAGCACTAAAAACAAGTATATAAACCACCATGCAAAGCTGAAGAGAGAACTCTTTCTCTTGAACTCTCTTTGATTCATCTTATTCAGTTCATCTATTATTTTTTTGAAAGAAAAACAAGCCTTATTAAAAACTCCTACTAACACAAGGTTGGGGTCCTATAAGGGGAAAAGAGTACCCAAAATTCATTAATCAATTTGGTACAAATCATTGTTTACAACATTTACAATGAATTCAGGATACTCAGACTCGAACAAAAAAGAAATATTACAATTAAGGGATCGATTAGCTAATGTATGAGCAACCTTATTTGCTTCCCGACAAACATATGTTACTGAACAACTATTAAAACCATTACAATTATCTCATATAGGTTGTAAATGAACACCAATCCTAGAATCTACACCACTCACATTATTTTACAAATTGACTACCATGGTGGAATCCTTCTCAATAATGATGTCCCGCCACCCCTCAACCAAAGCCAAATTCACATTGCAGCAAGGATATGAAACTCAGCTAAACCTGGCTCATAAATACTACCAGACGTAGTGGCTAAGCCACCGAGAACGGAACCAGACGCATCACAAGCAATTCCTTCCATTATGTTGGGCACTGAGAAAATCAAAATGCGGGGCCTTTGCATTGGCTGCAATGACCCAAGCAGGCTGAAAACGTCCATTATGCACCAAGGAATTCCTTCCATTCCAAATGTTTCATAATAGAACTAGGAAGCCTGCAAAATCAATAACCATTATAATCTCATTTCCCACTCAACAATGATAATTTTGAGAGGTTGAATTAAGGAAAGACGAACCACCTAACCAAAATAGTGTAGACTAATACACACATCAACAACACAATGGAGTTAGAATATATTCTCGGGGTGTTGTCCTTCCGTTGTACGAGATTGTTATGGCATGTTCATTTTAGGCAAAAGGCGCAAGAAATTTCA